AGTACTACTAAAACATACCGTATAACAAAGCAAGATTTAAGAGATATTGCCTATGGAGAACTTACCATAGTGTCTGGCATATTACATATGCTTAATACATACTATTAGGATTATTATAATGGCTTGGGCTTGTATCTACCTCTGACTTGGCTATGCCTATACATGCCTCCCATTCCAAGGCTGACCTTCTAAGATTTGGGAAGAGAGAGCTCAGTTCAAAAACAGAGAAGGTAGCCCTAGCCATGTTTGCTCAGTGGTTAGAGCGTCCCCGCAGACTGAAAGGTCCCGGGTTCAATTCCGGCCAACGGCAATGAGCCCCAACCAGAGCCGGGGATTGAGCCTACAACCAATCGATGTGGTGTCTCTCTCACATCCATGTCTCTCTCTGTCTCTCTCCCCCTTCCATTCTCTCTGAAAAGCAATGGGAAAAATATCCTCGGGTGAGGATTTAAAAAAAAGCAAAAAAAACAACAGAGAAGGTAATCTCCTTTGACATTGTTAAATTCTGACAAATAATTCTAGATATTGCACTAGAATGTCAGTTTGACTAAGTCGTCTCTGGAAAAACTTTTTAGTTTCAGTCAATTTCATTACTTCAAACACTTCAAACTTGGCCTGAGAACATAGAAATTGATATTAAGTTTTAAGTCTAATAACCAATTTTAGAAAAGAAACTGAAAGGGTGTCAAGGGCAGCAATTGTTATAGGTTATAATGACTGAACTGTTACTGAAATACAATATCAGCATCTGTTTTCATTTCACACAGAAAAGTTGGCTGACCAAAGGTAAATTTTTCAGATGTTATTTACACAAAACAAATTTGAAACATCAGTTCCTAGACTCATGGAATAATATTTCCAACTTCTCCATTCCCCTTAAACAATCTTTTCTTCTTACTTGGTGAGGTTAGCTTTTCCACGGGTCTCACGAACTTGTGCCAGTAGAAGATCTGGGCATAACTTCTTAGCATCATCTGCCCACATGTTTCTAGTGACCCCAAATGCACGAGCTTCATAACTCACTGCAACTATTCTAAGGTTACAGAAAAAAGGAACAGAAAAATATTACATGATCACAGGCAAAAATAATTACAATTTAACATGAATAGGCTATACACATAACAGTAGAAACTTTTTGGCCACAGATGCCACTACTTGATTTCAAATACAGCAGTACAGAAATCTCAAAAATAGTACCTAGCACAGTGCCATGCAGTCTTACAGATTAAAACAGCACTTGACAGTTACAACAATAACTATGATACATACCCACCACCCTTCCATGACTTGTACTGTACAACTGCACAAGGTTTATTTCTCAAATAAGGATTTTGCCGCTGCTCCACTTGAACAAAAAAACAGTCCATGTCCACTAGAGCAACTACCCGGTCCTGTCCATTAGCCATTTTTCTGTAAGACAATATTTTATAGACAGTTAAAAAGGGTGCCTAATCTAAAGTGCCAAAGAAAACTGTATTTCCATTCTTCTGTTGAGTTACCATGAGTATGAGAGCCTGGAAACTAACAAGAATGAAACAGGCATTTTCATCTACTGCTAGGAGAATAATAAATTGCTACAATTTTAGGAAGGTAATAAGTATTAAAAACTTTAAAAATACTCATCCCCCCAAAGAAGTGAACACTCCACAAAGAAGATAGTATACAAATAGTCAACAGGCACAGGAAAATGAGCTCAACATCATTAGCCATAGAGAAATGCAAATTAAAACCACAATGTACAATCTAGTTCATAGACAAGACACAAGTGTAAATTGAGGGAAAAGAGAAGCAGGAAGTGATATATAACATCATAGCATTCATGTGAATTTCTTTAACTTTTTATTTTGAAATAATTTTACTTACAAAAATACTGCAAAAATAGTGGGGTTCTCCTATACCCAGTTTCCCCTAATATTAATGTTTCACATAGCACAATGATCAAAACTAAAAAATGAACATTAAAGTGTAATATTCAACTACATATGTTACTTAACTTCACCATTTATTCCATTAATACCCTTTTTCTGTTCCAGGATCCAATCTTAGTCATCATGTCTGCTTAGCCTTTTCCAATCTGTGACACCTCCTCAGTCTTTCCTTGTTTTTCATGACATTGACACTTTTGAAGACAACTACTGAGTTAATTTGAGAATATCTCTCAATTTAGGTTGTCTGATGTTGTCTCTTGATTAGATTGAAGTTATGCATTTTTGGCAATAATATCACAAAAGTTATGTGCTCTCCTCGGGGTATCATATTGGGAGGTGTGATATTGGCATAAGGTCAATATGTCTTATGATTGGTGATGTTAACCATGATCATTTAGTTGAGAAAGTGTTTGCCAGGTTTCTCACTGTAAAGTTACTATTTTTTCCTTGTGACTAATCTTAGGGGAGATACTTTGAGATGGCAAATATCCTGTCTCTCCTCAAACTTGCAACCACTAAGCACCCATCAGTGAATCGTGCCTGCAGCAATTACTTTGCAGTGTTCTAACGGTGATTTTCTACTCATTCATGTAAATTTCTGAGAACAATTCCACGTACTATTTATGGATAGACATACATAGTAGATTGGAAAAACAAACCTTATAATACTCGATAGTGGATACAGACTAATATTATCATTTAACAATATTAGAAATTTGGAAGAAGGAATGTAAACTAATGAAATGGCTCCCCAACTTTGCTGCAGACTGGAATTACCTAGGAACATTTACGTAAGATTGATACCAGCTTTTACCACCAGACATCCTCATTTAATTGGTATGGATCTGACCTAGGCATTGTGTTTTTACAAGCTCTCCAGGCACCTCTAACATGCAGCCGAGATTGAGAATCACTGACCTAAAGTATACAAGCTATTTATGGAAAACCAGTAATTCATGATTTAAATATGAGAAACACAGGCTATACAGTTGAGTAAGCACTCAACTGTATTCTTTTAAAAAAGTGTCAAAAATTAACATTCACCTTGAAAAAAGTGGAATGCAACTACAAACTGCAGGTTAGTGGAAAGAAAACAATGAACTTAAAAAATGAGAGCGTCAAGGCATTAATTACTTATCAATTCTACTTACCCCAAAGGGGCAGAATGTGATACTTTAAACATTTATAAGTTAAAACCATAACATGTCAGAAATCACTTTACCTTTAAGTGCCTTTTGCGTAGCACTGGAACAGATGCCAGAATAAAAATAGCAAATGCATTTTCTCACACACACACACACACACACACACACACACACAACGCCAGGTACGCACCATACTAGAAATAAATACCATAAGGGGGGTTTGAATAGGAAGCAGTGATTTAAGTCCAGCAAACATATTACTGAGTATAGGAATACAAATTTAACAAATAATGAAGTTGTTGGAAGTTTTCAGTTCACACATTTTGCTGGAGAAAGCATGAGCTTTTTAAAGATGGGACATGAAACATACTCTCTGCCAAAACGATCTTTTCAGAATAAGGGTTATATTACTGTGGAGCCATATCTAGCACTTCAAATGATTAAAACTGCACAAACTTTCTATTGCAGTTTTTCATCTTTAAATATCTCGACTTATCCCAATCTGTACAAAACAAGTTCGGTGCTCATCAGGTGATAATACATCCAAGGAAAGTAAGTACAAGTGAAGAGGCAGGTTTAAGAGCTATAAAGTATCATTTTTTTACACACACACGCACGCTTAGAGAATACCAGGGTCTATCTCCCTGTGAGCACGTACTCCCATTTCATGTAACTTGGGCCCGATGTTGTCACCAACCACTGCTATATCATAAAACCAATAACCAAAGCAATACGAACAGTTCGAAAACAGTGATACCGAAAGTTTCCAAATTCTCTTACCAATGTGGCAAATACCTGGCAAAACTGCCAACCGCGGACGCTGCAAACGCTGGGCTCGCCGTCCGCAGAAGGATGAAGGCGTCTCGAATGTCTGTCTCCTTTCCGGGAGCAAGTCAGTCGGTATCGAGAGATTTATCCCCGTCAATATGACAAAACGGACCAACGGTCGCAGAGGTTCCTTGCCCGGGCAGCGGCCCGCACACCCGTGTGGGTTCAGCCAACGCCGGCGCGCTCAACAGCCAGCCCTTCTGACAGATATCAGACTGCGCGCTCGCCGCGAAGGGCGTTGACGCGCCTGCGCGCTGCAGCTCTTCCGTCTCCCGCTTCTCCCACCTAAGGGCAACCGTCACAAGGAGGCCGCCACTTCCGCCGGCGCGTGCGCAGTGGAGGGTCGGGCGCGTGTGCTGCGCCTGTTCTTTCCCGGCTGGCGCTTCTGCCGCCCACGGCTCCTCCTCTGACTCTCCACCCCCCAGCCCACCGCGGCCGGGTACTAGCGTGTTATCCCGGCACGGGAGCCGTCTGTACCTTGCGCTCCCGGACAGCCAAAGTGCGCTCTCGCTGCGCGTGGCAGTAGCCATGGCGATGGATCAAGTGAACGCGCTGTGCGAGCAGCTGGTGAAAGCGGTGACGGTCATGATGGACCCCAGCTCCACCCAGCGCTATCGGCTGGAAGCCCTCAAGGTAGCTGGGGTCTGGTGCCCCGGGCCTGCCCTGAGACCCTCCCTGAGCGAGCCATCCCCGCGCTGTCCATAACCCAGGTCGTCTCCTGCCCACGCTGCCCTTGGACCTCCCTCCCCAACCCCGAGGGGCCTCCCCTCGCCGCCCTCCGCGCCCCTTCCCACTCCCAGCCTACTCCGCTCGCCTCGCCTGCCCTTTTCCCGGGACGCCCCGCTCTCTAGCTGCTTTTGGCGGTCTCTTCTCACCATCCACTCCCCACTGCCCTCTCCTCTCCCTGTCCGGACTTCTGTTCACTCGTGTTCGCACTATGATCCTCTCTACAGCTGGCTGCACTTTTTATTTTCCCAAGCCGCACATCCCCGCGTCCCCTCGCCTTCCCGCGGCGCACGTGTCCGTCCGTACTCAGCACCAGCTACGTTCTTTATGGTCTCCCCAGCACTAAATGTTTCCCTGCTAACCTGCTCTCCTGACCTACCCTAAGTGAGCTCCAGCCCCCATAGTGTCCTTTTACTTACATCGTTATACCCCTCCCTACCCTCTTATGTGTCGGGTATTTCGGCTAATTCTCACACGCCCTCTCCCCATGTTTCATATTGTGTAATATTCTTAGGCTATTTTGCGCAAAGATGAACTTCCACCACTTACTTTGCATTTTAACAAGGGCACTTTGATTTCCTGAAAGTAGTTTTCTTGAGTTCCGGGTTGTGCTGCTGGGACTAACTCTTGTATTGCAATTTGGGGATGCTAATACAAATGGGGATGCTGATGCAATATGAACGTATTCCCGCATCAAATAATGCATGTGGGCTGTGAGAAATGAAGTAACCATTAGGAAAAAAGTACTTGTGCTGTGCATAGTTTAAGTGATATACACTGAGCATCACTTGGAGGAAACTTTACAACATGTAGATGTATTCCACAGAATTTGGAATCAAACAGTTAAGTTGTATTTGTTTTTTTACTATGAAATGTTAAAAATGGACACAAAAGTAGAGAGACTACTATAGTGATCTTTGTGTATACCCACTGCATGCTCAGCTGTTGTAAAAATTTTACACTTGCCTTATTCCCTTCCCTTCCACCAAAACTTTTTAAAACAAATCCTAGAAGTTGTCATTTCACCTCTATATACTTCAGGGGTGTATCTCTGACATAACTCTTTAGTTTTTTATATCAGATTTTTTTCAACACAAGTTGGATATTGCCTGGGAAATCTGGAACTATGAAAGTAAAAGGAATGTTTGTTGCTCTTTACTCATAATATTGGTCTATATTTTGCAACTTAAAAATATAGCTCAGGTTGGAGTTAAGATGAAGTTTTTTTAGTCCCTACTCCTGGCTCCTAAGGGAAACGTTAACTTTTCTTCTTTCAGTTTTGTGAGGAGTTTAAGGAAAAGTGCCCTGTCTGTGTACCCTGTGGCTTGAGGTTGGCTGAGAAAACACAAGTGGCCATCGTCAGACATTTTGGCCTTCAGATCCTGGAACACGTTGTCAAGTAAGGAGGAGCTTTTGGACTTTGCCACTGAAGTCTATAAGAGAGAAAAATCTTTATTTCTTATATAACTTATAGAGATACTCTTTAGGTGAGCAGAAAAGAGCAATCCCCAAGAAGAAAGGATTGTTCCCCAAGAGGTTATCACAGCCTCACGAAGCTCTCATTTAAGACTTAACTTTTCTCTTCTTCAGTTTCTTCATCCATGTAAAGTGCAAAGTACATACTAAGCATTCTATAAATATTAACTGATAGTCATTCAGCCAGCATTTACTGAGTTCCTATTATATCCCAGCAGACCTCAGAGTCTGTTTAGAAAGACTCTAAACCATCACAGAAATGGAGTTAGTGATATCAAGATTGTATTTTCTGAAAAACAACGACACAGTTGCAGTTGTCCCAGGTGTATACCTTTGCTTTTGTCTCTCAGGAAAATCAAGGGGAAAGCTGATCTGTGCACAAATCCTGTGTAGGTTCCAATTAATGGACCACTGCCTATATAAAACTCTTTCCCAAGAATTTTTCTGTTGTTAGCATTTTGGTTTAGTGTGGACTGTTTTGTCTGTTCTGTGAAGCTTTTGAAATCAAAAGCATAAGTTCTTAGTGAAATCGCCAACATAATCTAACACAAGAATGAAAGCTAGTCTCATAAAGAGAAGACTTCTAATGTGGTTCTGTTGACTTTGTGCATTTTGGTGGCCAGGTTTCGGTGGAACAGCATGTCTCGATTGGAGAAGGTCTATCTGAAGAACAGTGTCATGGAGCTGATTGAAAATGTAAGGAATGGTTGGTTGGAAGACATGTTTCCAAGGTAGTTTAGACAGAGTGGCTTCTTCAATGTAGCATTTGTGTAAAAATTCACTGGTTCCTCATACGTCAGCATGCTTTGTATGATACTGAATATTACCTTCAAGGTAAAAAGAACCACCATCACAAGAAATCATAATTCATCACAAATGCATTGTATAATAGTAATAGTGAAAAATTTGCAGAATGAAGTTGTTTCAGGAGTTAGAATATGACTTAAGATCCACAGCCTTTTTTTTTTTATTTTACAAAGGGTATAAAAAGTGGAATCCCCACCCCATTCATCCCCAGAATCTGATAGAAAAAAAACTTAGGATCTGTTTTTTGCTAGTTCTGGGGAAACTTGATAAAAATAATTCATTAACCTTTTCGTTTTAAATCCTCACCTGAGGATTGTTTTTATTAAAAACTCGATTAAAAACCGAGAGTCTCTTTGGTTTTTATTAATTTTAAAGAAAGAGGAAGGGACAGGGAGAAAGAGAGAAACATCAATCTGTTGCCTCCTACATACACCCAGACCAGGGATTGAACCTGCAACCTGGGCATTTGCCCTGACCAGGAATTGAACCCAGGACCTTTTGGTGTGCTGCACGATGCTCCAACTAACCAAGCCACAGCAGCTAGGTCATCATTAATCTTGAGATTCAACTAAGGAGAGTCCCAGTAATAGTCTTTTTGTATCTTCTAATACTAGAACTATTAGTAAAATGTTTTGGTGCTCCTCCTAACTCCCATTTTATCAGGCCCTCAATGTATTCCTTAATTCTGTATTCTTCCACCCTGGCCCTCTTACAAATGAAACAATCAATATGAGAGTCTCTTCAGTTTCTAAAGGAGAACAGTGATGTCTTCCTTGCTCTGTGTGACAGCCATTTTATAAGCAGGCGTAACCCTCACTTAAGCTTTAAGTGGGAAGAATGATTAGCAAGAATGCAGGACAAGTGACTCAGACATGGAGAACAGGTTGGCTTATGCTGTTTAGTTTAAAAGTAGGACTGCTGATGAGCTTTTCCCTTGAACTCAGTCTTGCAGACCTCTTAATATCTCTTGTTCTTTTTCAGGGAACACTGAACATCTTGGAAGAGGAGAACCATATTAAAGATGTTCTGTCTCGAATTGTAGTAGAAATGATCAAGCGGGAGTGGCCACAGCACTGGCCTGACATGCTAATAGAATTGGACACTCTTTCCAAACAAGGGGTATGAAATACAGTGTACCAAATTAGTTTGGGGTTTTTGGGGGGAGTTCTTCAGGGGGTTCTCTTTTTTTTAAAAAAATTATTGATTTTTAGGGAGAGAGGAGAGAGATGTGGAAATGATGTTTTAGTTTAATTACCTTATTTCTGTTAATATAGGAAACACAGACAGAATTAGTGATGTTCATCCTTTTGCGCCTGGCAGAGGATGTAGTGACCTTTCATACACTGCCCTTTCAAAGAAGAAGGGACATCCAGCAGACGTTAACCCAGAACATGGAAAGGATCTTCAGTTTTCTACTTAACACACTTCAGGAAAATGTCAACAAGTACCGGCAAGTGGTAAGGAATATCCCACCTACCCAAAGCTGTATTTTTTAACAAGTGTTTTTTTGTTTGTTTAAAGTTAAAAAGAGCAAGGAACTAAGGTGTCTAGTTCAGCAAAAGAAAAGACCATTTTTTAAGCAAAAAAGAAATAGGTGACAGGAAAAACAACTGATTTTTTTTTTTTTTTAGAACTGATTTTCTAAGAAACTCAGGTCAGTGAGTTTCCATGTCTACTAGAAAAAAATTAATTCCTTTTACAGGAAGAACATTCTTTAAATAGTATAAAAATAAAGGTTAATTCTTAATATTTGAAAGCTCATTTATCTAATAGGTCAGGGTAGTATCCCTGTTAAAATTTGAGGTCTTGTTTAGTCCTGGTCCCTTTTGTAGTGTAAACTGTGCTGAGTTTTATTAATCTTGACTACATGATTCTTGGTATTTTGTTCTTCCGGATGAGGTAGAGTTACTCTTAATTTTAATTGTCCCCTTTTGCAGAAAAGGGCAAGCCAGATACTCTCTTTCCAACCATTGTCATTTTTAGCAGAGAGCCTTCAGAAGAGGGCAGTGTGAAAGGTAATCTAATATAGTGTCCTCACCAGGGGGCAATTTAGCCCCCCAGATTGTCACAAGTAGGGATTGCTACTGGATCTAATGGGTAGAAGGCCCAGGATGCTGCTAAACATTCTGTAAAACACAGTCACCTCAATAAAGAATTATCCAGCCCCAAATGTCAAAAGTACTGAGTTGAAAAAGCCTG